CCTCTTCGTTGTGATAATACTAGCGCCATAAGCTTGACGAAGAACCCCGTTCTTCACTCAAGGACGAAACACATTGACATTAGGCATCATTTCATTAGAGATCATGTTCTCAAAGGTGATGTCGAAATTGAGTTCGTTGAAACACACAACCAATTAGCCGACATTTTCACAAAACCTTTAGAGAAAGAGTCGTTCTTCCACATTCGAAGTGAACTCGGAATCCTTGACTCCACGATGATCTAAGTTGTGCATCTAAATTTACTAAACATCTACTAACTTGAGCGTCGGAGAACTTTTTCTTTTTTGCAGGTACCCCGTCCATAAAATCAGGGGGAACCATGCAAACAACGCTGTCCAGGAGACACAACAGCGCTGTTTAGGGAAACACCATCAACCAGAAAGTTCTCCAACAGCGCTGTCTCTCTAGACCAACAGCGCTGTCTCTCTAGACCAACAGCGCTGTCCCAGGGAGTACCTTACACTTTTACTTCCAGAAACTTTTTCAACAGCGATGTCGTTTAGAGCAACAGCGCTGTCCAATTTTACAAATTTTTTTATCGTAAAACAGCGATGTAGAGAAACCCAACAGCGCTGTTCAAATGGGTTCAAACCCTTTCACCATTCCAGAAATTTTTGAAACATCGCTGTAGGGCACTCAACATCGCTGTCGGTTTTACTCTTGTTTTTTTAAAAACTTGACGCAGAACAGCGCTGTACAAGGAACAACAGCGCTGTCCCAACAGCGATGTCGTCTGTAGAACATCGCTGTTCTGGTCAAATTTTTCAAAAAAATATCCGTTGCACCTGCTTTAATTGCTCCAACAACTCTTTTTTTTCAAATTCTTGAACGTTGGCCACCCTCTCTCCTATATATTTGGACCCCCTCTTCTCATTTTTACACACACAAACACAAACTTCTTCAATCTCCTTGCATATTTTATCCTCTCTAACATTCTTTTTGAGATTTCTTCATCACCATGGCCAAAGATAAGAACAGGGCAGGAGCTTCAGGAAAATCCAAGGCAAAATCCCGGGCACCGGTAACCAATCCCGAGGATCGCATCGACTACGGCGATGGGACGTATCTCTGGTTCGATTCCGAGGAGGAGCGCACCCGTTTTCTCACCTTCTTCTCTAAACGGGTTGTGGCTCCCCCTCGAATCATCCCGGAGCGCTACCCGGAGCTGCAAGGCTACGACGATCTTGACGCACAGCTTCATCAAGCCGGCCTTTGGCCGTTCGTCTCCCGGGCACGCAAGGAGATCAACCCGGCACTGATTCGGGCCTTCTACTCGAACCTCCGCCGTGAGGACGACGTGCTCTACTCGCTCGTCAAGAGCACGCCGATCGAGCTCACCGTGGAGCGGCTTGGACGCATCGCCGGCCTCCCCTTCCAAGGCGACGACGTGTCACACTATGGTGGAGAGGATTGGGTGCTCAACAACGAGGGCCTTATCCTCAACGAGCTTGGCATCACCGAGCTCAAACGCCATGCCTCAGGCCGCCCAACCATCCACTCCGCCAAACCCGAAGGCCGCCAGGTCCTTTACATCGTCACCCGAATCCTCAAACCCAGGAAGCACGGCCACACCATCATGCACGGTGAAGACCTCAAACTTATGCACGCAATCATGCACTCGGCCCCAATCAATTGGGCAAAGTTCGTCATGATCAACATGACGATTGCTGCGTCCACCGAGCACGACCACCTCCTCCCGTACCCGTTCTTGGTGATGGACATCCTTGAACGGTTCAGGCTAACCACCACCATTGGCCCGCTCATGAAGGCCACGAAGATTTGGACAATTAGTAACCAAACCTTCCTCAAGCGGTCGGACAACACCGCGGCTGCCACTGCCGAGCCACGCCGCACTGCCCCTGCCGCNCGTTGGAGCCTCTTTTGGCACTATAAAAAGGGGTGTTTGGGTATGCCTTTCTCACCAATTCACTTCACAATATTCATATTATCATTGCATTGAAACAACATCATTTTTCATAGCTTTTTAGAGCCAATTTGTGTGAAGTTTGAGTTGTTCTTGAGCGTATATATTTTACTCATATCCACTTTTAAGGAGAGTCTTGTTCTTGAGTGTCTTAGTGTTGTATACACGTTAAGGGAAGCTTGTTTCCCTTGGTTGTACGAAGGAAAGGTATTTTCCTTCGGGTTGAAGTCTTGGAGTGCGGTATCTCCGAGCAAGTGTTGTTGAGGCTCGTGGGACTCGAGTTCTCAGGTTGTAACGGTTTGTTAAGCACCCGTAAGCTTAACGGAAGTAGTGTAGCTCGAGAGAGTCTCTCGGGAGACTGGATTAGCCACACGTTATGGTGAACCAGTATAAATCTTGGTGTGCTCCCTTTACGCTTTCTACACTCTTTACTTTTCACGTTCATAATTTTTATTCTTGCGATTTCTACGATCAAACGGTATTCACCCCCCTCTAGCGTTGGTCACATATTCTAACATTTTAGTTTTGGCCTTGAGCTCTAAGGATACCATCACATTTTTTTGCCAAATTTTAAATTCAACAAAAAAACTTCCAAATCTGACATGGATTTTTCAATTTGTGTTAATTTCCTTTTGTTAGAACACGGGTTTACGCCTTCGTCGTACTAAACTGTGTTCGTTTATGACAGATTTGATAATGCCAAACCGCCGCGACATATCGAAGCTAAAGTGAGCAAAACTAAGGCGAAGGAACATGGCATGATGACTTGAGAACCAAGAACCCAGAATCAAGAACGAAGAACTAGAATTGTATTGAGTCGGTCTTAATGTGATCAAGACCGGCACAAAATTCCAAATCTTGGCTCTATAGGCTTAATTCAGAAAAAAACTCCTTTACATATTCAAAAATACCTTTCTTAAAGTTTAAACTTGGGTCAAAACACTTGGAGTTCGCCCAAGCCAAAAACCAAGCCATCCGGCGTTCGGCTTTCAGAAACCGGCGTTCGGCTTTCGGTTTTCGGCATCGGTTTTTGGCGTCCGAACCAACCAAGGGGTTTTTAACTTTTTATAACTGGTCTTTACTTCTGGGCATATTTAAATAGTTCTCCAACAAAAACGCCTCAAAAACCACCTTCCGTTTTTGGTCGTTTAGTGAAAACCATGCAAAACGGCACGAACTTGGCTAGCCATGGTTTTCAACTAAATGACGTGGTTTTTAAGATGTTTTACTTGATTTTTTAGCAAAATGCAATAAACAAATGTTTTCTAAACTTGGTTTTTATTTTGGAGAACTTGCGTTTTTGACATCGGCTAACGACGTGACTAAACCAACCATGGTCTGGCTAAACCAAGCCCAACAGCGATGTTGGGGTAATCAACAGCGCTGTCTGGCCTGGGTAACCAAAAACATGGTTTGGCGTTAAGTCTTCCAACAGC